TGTTTCTTTACCAAACATTCCCTCAAAGGGAATTCTTTACAGCTGAGGAGGGAACAAGAGGGAAAACCTGGAAAATTCAAGACATTTGTTTTAGTTTAGAGCAGCGGTTTAACTCTGATGTTGAGCTGACAAGTCAGTTCTAGTCGGGCGAGTAATAATAATAATAATAATCTCGTCTCGCCCTGTAATAAACCATGAAGAGAAGTCGTGTGCGTCGCAAACTGCTGCGTGAGAGTTTGTTTACATGTTAAGAGCCATCAACTGTATACATGCCAGTGTGTGCAAACATGTGTGAACGTACACGCGTCTTTACGCCGTCTGTGTCGATCGGGCTCTGACTGAAGCCTAAACACAGCTCTGTGCTTCTGCCATTTACATCAGTAGGTGTGGAGCACTCGCTAATGCCTTTCAGATGACGCTTTCACAAACAACTTTATGAAAAGTCACATTTCCGACACAATCAGGCTGATTTTCCAGATTTTTTTCCAGTGCTCAACCGGTTACATTTAAGCAGTCGCTTCCGCTTTACGGGAAATCAAGCGGCTGGTTTGACACATCTCGATTTACCAGAAAAACCGCGCAAACCGCCGAAACATGGACGAAATCAATTTTAATGAATGAGATCTCTCAAATGCCCAGTTTACATTTACATTTAGTCATTTAACTGACGCTTTTATCCAAAGCGACTTACAAATGAGGACAATGGAAGCAATCAAAATCAACAAAAGAGCAATGTAGTACACAGTACACGTAGCAAGGTTTTTTTTTTCGTGAAACTTGCTAATTAGCACATTATTAGGAAAGGCGATTTGCAAAGATTCATTACAAAACCTTATACTCACTTCTATAGATGAAGCTGGATCACGAATGATTCGCGCGAACATAGACGCGTTTATGTAGATCGGGGGAGCATTCCCTTCAGAAACAATGTAATCCTCTGCGTCTTCAGCGGCTCAGATGTCGGGAGTAAATGACGACTGCTGTTCATTATTACATCCAACAACAGAAGACCTCAATCGCTTAGGAGTCATTCTTGTCTACATCTGCTCCGGCGGTGAAACAATGGCGGACTGATGACAGCTCACTCAGGGCGGAGCTAAGGTAAGACGCCAGTCCAGTCTGTGCTGAAACGCTACTGTCAATCAAACTATCGTGGGAGGGGCCTGTCTGTGTGACGTCATTTGAGAAAGGGGTAAAGATTTGAGCAGATTAAAATCATTATATACTATCATTATAGGGTGGTTGTGTACACACACTGCCAACACACATTTCAGTTCAAACAACTTGTAACTTGTAGTATATCCAGCTGTATTTACTCATCTTATAACATCCAAGTGAAAGATATAACACCAACATATCAGAAAAAAATAAAAACAAATAAAAAAACACAATCACTGAGTTGGAAAAAGCATCACCCCCTCCTAAAAATGACTTGTAAACTCAATCAGGTGTAGCTGATCACTTCTCAATGTTATAAGTTGATGTTATAAGTAAACACAGCTGGATAAAACAAAAACTGTGTCCGTCTTCATTTCAGGCTGCAAAGCAACACAGTGTGATTTTTTTAGAGGGGTTGATTATTTTCTATACACACTGTAGAAAGTTCAAAAGAACGGCATTTAGCTGAAACAGAAAGATTTTGTAAATGTCTTTATTGTTGGGATTATTGGTATTATTTTTCTTGCTTTAAACATAAATCTTACTACATTTAAGTGAGATCAGTCTAAAACAACAACTAAAAGACAATTCATCGATAGAAAAATTATATACATTTTGTCTGAAAACATGTCTTGATAGCCTTCAATAAAATTGATCATGTCTTAAGGATGTTCAGTTATTTTTTCTTGCTATTAAAAACATTTCAAGCCTCACAAAGTATAAAAGAGCATCTTCTGTGGCTGATGAAAACGCACGGCTGTTCAATATTCAGTGGAGGCCATACGAACTATCTTAAGCTCATTGAAAAGCCATTTCCAGCCCCTCTGGAGGAGTCAACCCCAAACTCAGGCTTGTTATTCTTGAAGCATTTTTCAGTGGGACGGCAGACAGTGAGATAACATGCAGCGTTAAGGCTACTCATCCATCTTCATGAGGACCGGAGCTCAGAGAGCTGCGTGTCACACGCCGTTTGTTGCCATGCGTGTCTTTGTCAAGGAGCATAAATCAATGTCGGCCGTGCAAAACTCTGACACATTAACCACAACTTACTCACCGAGCTGCCAGTCAGACAACATACCTCGAAACGCTCGCCATAGAGGAAGAGCAATGTTTCCATGCTAATGACAGCGCCAAAATAAAGACCGACGAAGAGAGAAGAGAGTGAGATTTATAGCTGTTCAAGCGTGTTAATATTCATCGTGTTTCACTGCTGGAGAGATTATCAAGACATGAGGTCTTCAAATAAAATTTGATCAGACTTTTATCAAACTGAAATTTATTTAGACATACAAATAAAAAATATATATATATTGAATATATAAAAATATCTAAAATTATAAATATTATGCATATGCTTTAATAATAATAATACTAATACTAATAATAATAATAATTATAATAATAATAATAATAATACTACTTATAAAATCTATTATTTGGAGAGATTGAGGCATGATCTCAAAATCTTTATCTGACTTGAGATAAAGATAAATAATATATATTTATAGTATATATTTACATAATAATACAGTATTAAATTATTTATAAAATATAATATTTTATAAATATAAATATGTTTTATATAATATTCTCTCATATACTGAGAATATCA